CTCTTCTATATATATATATATACATATACATCTGTCTCTTATACACATCTAGATGTGTATAAGAGACAGTATATATATAGGCCTATAGTTTCTATGTACATATAGTTTATGCCAAGAGTAGCAGTCAATTCTGTTTGGACTCACTGAGGGAAATCATTAGTTAATTTACCAATATACGCATGTCTCATGTCTCATAAACGCTATACTGTTATCTATAATCAGCGGCCCGCCATCGTTGGTTGACTGCCACATCTCGTTTCTGATTCGCTGGGTTTCGTGCAGGGCCACCTTAATTCAATTTGCTAACCCACTATCGGCTCTTTATTTGTGTAATGTCAGAGTGTCGGAGATTGACGCAATAACTTGCTGTCCTAGCTTCGAGACCAGATACCAAAAATAACTTGTCATTCAATTTGTAGGAAGATGATGTCCTGAATAAGAGTAGATTGTGGTATGTAGTTTTCATAGTAGAGTGTACTTGCTAATTCTATTTACACCTAGCAGTTGTCAATGTGACTTGAGGCATAATTTTCAGTCACTGTTTTCCTAACGAAGTGAGAGAAATCAGTGAAATGTAAATTGTGAACCAATGGAAGATTGAATTGGATTGCATTTATCTAATTTTTGCAATTAATCAGAGGTAAAGCCGCTGGTGTGATTTATCAAATGTATGTACGTGCGCATTTAAAAATCGTTTGTGTCATTTTCAGATAACATCGTAACAGAAGCAAGGTAAGAGTCAGTAAAAATTCCTAAATTCAGGTTTTTCATTAAATTTTGTCATATTTTTGTTGTTTAATGTGATCTGCAACGAACTGAATGCTGATGGGGTTGACATTTAGGCTAATGAGATTTTACTGAATTGTAGAAAATTAAAGATAGAATATGTGTATCTATTTTGGAAAAGAAATTATAATTAGGTCCTATCGATTTGTGTTTATCGAAGTGAAATGGGAAGTTCAGGAGCATTAAATTTCTGAAAATGTACATCGTAAACTTAAGAAAATATGCATGGTGATGATTGCCACCGATCGTTGTCGAATATGTGATTCATTATGAAGGGCTGGACGTCACGTTTATGTGCTTCCAAGGCAGGCACCATACTGTTTTGTTCAAAACATTTTGACATCCGTTCTTATTTTTTTTCTTTTTTGGGATAAAATACGTATAATTAATGTCTTTTTGCTATGTGATTGTGATTGAACATAGACCCAACATTATATAAAGCCAAATTATGGTTTAAGATCAACTTTTCAGTTATTTTTTATTTAGATATTTTCATTATTACAAAGCCAGGAATATGCCAATAGCGAACGCAATACAGTATAGGCCTATATTTTATGTGACAGGTTTTGGAGAGCTTCATTTGAAATAAACGCCTCCCTCGAATAAAAACCCCGAGGCATGTATTTTTTTTCCCGAATAGTTCACCCACGCCCTCCTCTTCAATGACTGTAAACAAATCCAAGGAAGCAACATAATTTCCAACACATTAAATTAAATTCTATATTTTATTTAACTTGGTTGGGATCAATAACGCCTCATGATCACGTAGTACCGGTAACACTTCCCTCGAACGCCCCGGCGCGTTTATTCGAATAAACAATTATATTATGATGTGCAGCAGAAGGTAACTCCATAGACAGCAGAAGGTCTCGAGTTGGAATCCCGTTTGGAGAATTTTTTTTCGCA